TTTTGTTTTTTGGTCAAGGAGAAAAGACACGTGAACTGAGTCGCAGGCTTAACTTAATTACAAACGTTTTCTCTTTTCAAGCTGCGTTGGAGGCATGGTTCATCTTAAAGAGACAGGCATTTGAGTGATCACTGAGGTTTATCAATTAAACAGCGAGGAACGGAGCAGGGTAGAGCAGCACTCCGACCACTGGGATTAGGGAAACGGGGGTAGGCGTGGGGCGCAGCTTTCAGTGCACCGCTGTTGTCAGTGGCTTTGGTTTCCATTGCCGCGTAGTGTAACTGTGGAGGTGGCCAAAGACAGGGGAGTGTCCACTTCCTTATGGAACATTTAAAATACTGTCAGGTCCTCTGGGAGTTTATCTGCTCAGACTTGTATAAAAACCTGTGGCTTCGTAAAGCCAGAGCAGGCTTTTCCTCTCAAAGAGGAGCAGCCATCAAGAGGAGGAGAGATGGGGCGTTTCACCTCCCAATTTTCTCATCGGGTGTGTTGTGCCTTGAAACCTTTTTTTAAGAAATTGTACTAAAAGCGGATGCACTGACGGTGTTGAGAACTTGAGATTGAATGGTGCTACTTGATTTAGGTGTGTAGGCCCTTGTACGTCGTGCCCATCAAGTTTTACAAAAGTTCTTTTATTGCACATCTAGAGTTTTATATAGATGTCTTGGATATGTGTCCTTAAGCTTCCAAATATTGTGTGTGAGGAGATTGTGAAAAACGCAGCTTGTTTACAAAGGGGAAGGGTTCTCAACGTTTAAACCAGGATTTATTTGGGACCAGGGGATTTAGCAGTTGGGGGAATTTAGCCATTTGCACAGATTTCTAGATTCTACTTTTGCTGCTAGTTTTGTGTAATTTATTAAGCATTTTTGACAAATATTTATTTTTGTAAGCCTCAAAGTGATTCTTTGAAAGTTTCAGAAACTTGACCAAAAGACAGTACAAAAACACTGGCACTTGAATGTTGAATGTCACCTGTATGCGTGAAATTTATATATTTCGGGGTAGTGTGAGCTTTTTAATGTTTAAGATACATTGGACTCGGTAAATAATATCCACAGCTGTTTCAGGGCCTCCTCGGGGTCAGTCATCTCTATTAGATAATAATAATTGGTCAACAAAATTTGAAATGGAATTGAACAAACATGCCAAGGTTTGGAATATAGCTGTCAAAAGAGCAAATAAATTTCCTAAGCATATCAGTGCAGAAGTGTTCAGATTCTCCAATTGTGTGCATTATTGATTCTTTACTCTAATTTGACCTGATAATTATTTTTCTCCAGTGAATGTCTGGCACATGGCAATCCTTAAAGAAACAAACATGTGGTTTATTCTCATTGTTGTATTTGCATATGACACCTCCTCGAGTTCTCCTCGAATGTGGAGCAAGTCTGCAGCATTGATTTCCAAGGCAGCTGTTGGACTTGTATGAGATGAACAGGAGGTTCTGCGCAAGTTGTTGCAGGCAGAGCCCGAGACTTGTTCCACATTCTCCAGAGAACGCTGGAGCTCTTTAGATGTAGACTTTGCTTTCTGTATTAGCTTATAGGCTAAAGCACTGCATGGGAAATACTCAGCTGTGCAATTGTATGATTTTACCAAAATAAAATGTTTGAATGCAAAAGTATCTGAAAAAACCAAGCATGTTTCATGAAGACTTGTTTACTGTAGTTGTGCAGAGAAGACCTGTAGCAAGCAGTCTGTCGCCTTGTGTGGATATGGGGTGCACAGGCAGCAAAATTCAATTTGGTATAGATTGGATGGGCTTCATTTCTTTTGGGAAAAAAAAAATATATATAAAGACATCATTTGTAAATTCAACTGTGTCAGTTGTGGTATTTTCCAAAACCTGTCACAGCTCGGTCAGTGACAGCAGAGGTGGGACCAAGTCATTGTTTTGCAGTCACAGGACTCCAGTCCTAAACTAAGCTTTGAGTCAATTCACAATGCACTCTTCCCCAAATGTCATTTTAACCGAACAAACAAAACATTTATCTTATCCTTTCCAACTAGTGCTCAGTAATGTTGGTTCTTAAAGGTTCTCTCCTGCAAATTAACTGGATGCTGCCAGATTAGTTCAAAGTGGATCTGGAAAAATTTAGTGTTGACCTTTTGGTAATGAGTAGCATTAAGTAGCTGCAGGTCAAATTGGCCCAAATCAGATTTTTTTTATTTATTTTTTTTCTCTGAAAACGTACAGCACAAATCACATTGTATCTGTTATTTTCTGGTCCAACTCAGATACAGGTCTGTTTTTTTGCTATGTAACCTGTGTAAACTGTTAGATCAGAATTAATGTGACTTTTACATCACTCTGGATCAACATGCATGGGTCACTTTAGGGCTATGACCTGTTCACACTGGAATCTGTGGGCCACATTTAGGATATAATGTGAACAGCCAAACCACAAAAATCACAATTGAGCCCAAAGGCTTGCAGTGTAATCGTAGCTTTAGTTGATTCAGGAAGTAAATGAATTTGTGGCACACATTTTGAATAACAATCAAATTAATCAAAATAAATGTGACTAGCTGTTAGAATAAACAATATACACAGATTGCAGTGGTTACAAAATTTCTGTAAGCAATTTTCACAATTGTATTTATAGTAACAATTTAGCTTCAGAGTCTAAACATTTTTGGATTAGGTACTTTGGAAGTGTTTGAATGTTACTCTTAAAAAAGCCTTTTTCAAAAGATGTTTTGACATGCCGGGTAAGAAAAACAGGTGTAAATAATTCAATTGATGATCAGTTTCTTTGTATTGGCTAACTACAGTGGATATAAAGTCTACACACCGCTGTTAAAATGCCAGGTTTTTGTGGATGTAAAAAAATGAGACAAAGATAAACCATGTCTAAACTTTCCCACCTATAATGTGAACAATTCAACTGGAAAAACAAACTGAAATCTTTTAGGTGGAAAAATAAAAAATAAAAAACTTACAATAACCTGGTTGCATGGGGGGATGTGGCTGTGTTCAGAATTGACCAATCACATTCAAAACTCATGTTAAATAGTAGCAGTACACATCTGCCATCATTTAAAGTGACTGATTAATCCCACAATAACGGTTTCAGCTGTTCTAGTAGGACTTTAACTTTGTTAAAAGGTATCAGTCAGGAGAAGGGTACAAAAGAATTTCCAAGGCATTAGATATACCATGGAACACAGTGAAGACAGTCATCAAGTGGAGAAAATATGGCACAACAGTGACCTTACCAAGAACTGGACGCCCCTCCAAAATTGATGAAAAGACGAGAAGAAAACTGGTCAGGGAGGCTTCCAAGAGGCCTACAGCAACATTAAAGGAGCTGCAGGAATTTCTGGCAAGTAAGTACTGGCTGTGTACTACATGTGACAACAATCTCCCATATTCTTCATACGTTTGGGCTATGGGGTGGGGTGGCAAGACGGAAGCCTTTAATTTAAAAAACAAAAACATCCAAGTCTGGCTAAATTTTGCAAAAAAATACATGAAGTCTCCCAAAAGCATGTGGGAAAATGTGTTATGGTCTGATGTAACCAAGGTTGAACCTTTTGGCCATAATTCCAAAAGGTATGTTTGGCGCAAAAACAACACAGCACATCACCCAAAGAACACCATCCCCACTGTCAAACATGGTGGTGGCAGCATCATGGTTTGGGCCTGCTTTTCTTCAGCTGGAACTATGGCCTTAATCAAGGTGAAAGGAATTATGAACAGTTCCAAATATGTCAATTTTGGCACAAAACCTTTAGGCTTCCGTTAGAAAGCTGAAGATGAAGAGGAATTACACCTTTCAGCACAACAACGACCCAAAGCATACATCCAAATCAACAAAAGCACAGCTTCACCAGAAGAGCAACATTTTGGATTGGCCCAGCCAGAGCCCAGACCTGAATCCCACTGAACATCTGTGGGATGATCTGAAGAGGGCTGTACACAGGCGATGCCCTCGCAATCTGACAGATTTGGAGCGCTTTTGTAAAGAAGAGTGGGCAAATATTGCCAAGTCAAGATGTGCCCAAAAAGACTGAGTGCTGTAATAAAATCAAAAGGTGCTTCAACAAAGTATTAGTTTAAGGGTGTGCACACTTATGCAACCAATTTTTTTTTGTTTTGTTTTTTCTTCCCCCTTAAAGATTTCAGTTTGTTTTTCAATTGAATTGTTCACATTATAGGTCACATTAAAGGTGGAAAAAGTTTGGACATGATTTATCTTTGTCTAATTTTTTTACAGCACAAAAACCTGGCAGGGGTGTGTAGACTTTCTATATTCACTGTATATTCACATGCACAAAATATTCAGTTTTTTACCCATACTCCAGAAAAGACAATTCCTACTGAGCTGTTTACATGGCTAATGATGTACTGTACATCCTACAGAGGCATTTCCCTCCAAACTGCAGTCATGTTGCTCCAGTGGTAAAAGTGGAACTGATGAATGAATGGAGCTGATTGACCCATTTCACCTCTCTGCATCAAAATCTGTTTTCTTCCAAACTTCTGTAATTGTTTGACTGTGTGTACACAGCCTCCCTCTGTCATTCCTTCAACAACCTTCTTGAAAAGGTTGGGCTTTTCTTTTGGAATGGAATTGGCTTTACTGGAATTCTTGAATAGAACAAGGTCACTGTTTTCCCAGTAAGACAAAAGTCAAAAGTTGTTGTGGCTTTATAAGCATTGGAGGCAGTCAGATCTCCCAGACGATTCAGATCTTGAGGGTTGCCACAGTATCTCTTCCCATGGTAACCAGATGTGTTCAGATTATGCCGTGGTATGTGTGCTGAACTTTGGACCCCGTTTCTGGTGAAATGAGGGTAAAATGATGAACAGAAAAAGAAGCCTGACCTGTATTTTATGCCTCAGCAGATGGGCTCCTCTTTGGCCATCTGTGGTAGCTTTTTAGGCAGCGGGAAGACAAAACAGTGCTTGCATATCTTTCATCCTGCATGAAAACCATGTTTACCCCAATTTTGGGAGGTTTTTATTATTGATGTTACTCTTGAACGGTCACATGGTCTCTAATGTGCTGAGTAGGTTTCATAACCACAGAGCCAGTGACACCCATTAAAGCCCTGTTGTATAATTTGTCATTTTGAAAATAAAGGTTTTAGGGGCATTCAAATGCAGCTGTAGTGAACACATTGAGCTATCTGGAGAAAATATGGTCCATACAGCTCGGACAGTATCCTATTTAAAGTTCCCCTCCAGTCAGATCTCCTTGTTCCTACAGTGTGCTGTTTGAATGCTGTCTGTGCAGAGTTTTACACTAGAAGGATGTTTTCACATTCATCTGCTGAAAGTGGAAAGTTTCTCTGTGCTCATTGAAAATCTGATTTTAAGGGGCGGGGCCTACCAGCATGATTTGTGACATCACA